AATCGAACCTGTAAAATTGATGGGTATGACCCCCACTGGGCACCCCCTTGGGCACGCCACTGGTCGCATTATAGAAATGTATATATTACAAGCAAAGTCTATTTCGGGTTCTATATGGCGCCGTTCCTACCGAATAAATGTATTCGAAGTGAGCCCAAAGGGAATAAAGAGGACACCGAGTAGAGGCCCCATAAAAAAAAATCCATGCCTGATTGCGCCACTGCCAGCTAGCGAAAGACCGTTCTCAGACATTCTTTATGTTCCCAGTAGATGAAAGAACAGAATGGAAAGCGGATAGGAAGAGGCACACAGAGAAAAGAGATCATGTGACATCCGCGTGGGGCTGGATTCCCTGGATCTCTCTAACTGCGACATTTCTTACGTCACGCGTCCGTCATCGATCTCGTCCCTCTCTTTCATTTACCTCTCCGTTGCACGTCGTCAAATCTTGCCGTGGCATGACCCGTGCCTGAACTCTCTCTAACGAGGTTGTTTTTTTTCGCGATCGGTCGGTGGCTGGGGAAATTTCACGAAGCTCAATTTTATTTATATTGAGAGTGATGAGCGGAGAAAATCTCGAAACGGCAGAGACCTAATTCGGTAGACGAATCATCACGAGTCGACGTTCGTTTGAAACTCCATCCGGGAGCATTGGAGCGAAACTAGGAATCCCAAGAAAGATCAGCGTCAAAATACTTTTTTTTTCTGTCCTTATCTGCATCTCTCTATTTAGTGCTTTAAATCCCGTTCATTTCTAAGAAGTCTTATATCTCTTTTGTATCAGTCGGCTTCATCAGATTCCCCCAAACTCTCTCTCTCTCTCTCTTTCCCCTTCGTCCGAGTAGCTTTATTTATTTATTTAAATATCTACACGGCATGAAACGGCCTTTATAACCTTCTCCAAACACCGGAACCTGCTCATCACCTTTACAATTTCCCTCTTCTAAATCAAATCAAATTCCAAAGATAAATCTAAATTTTACACGCACGATCATGTCTCACCTTTTCTTGATATCACCTGCATCATCATCATCATCATCATCATCATCACCACCTGCATCCACGAGCAGTCAAATAAGAAGTTCGATCAACCAAGGTCAAAGTTAAGCTTTTTTTTTTAGATAGCGTGGACTCTTTAAACGTTTTCGAGACGTTACTTAGCCGACGATGTAAGCGGAACTGGGTTAACTTACCAGCGCATTCGAAAACTGAAAATATCCACTACGTGATCGCGAGTTCCTGGTACGACGATTTGCTGCAGGTTCCCTGGGCACGGGAATCGGGATTCAGAAATATCACGCCCGTGACCTGCGGAAGCAGACGCAATATGCTGGCGATTCCGAATCGTTTGAGGCCGACGACTTTTCGGAAGTTCCGAGATACGAGTTCCTGTATTGGACGATTCCTTTTATCATCTCTGCTTCGATTCGGCGTTTGGTAAAGACGTCATCGAAGAACGAAGATAGACTCATTGAGATCAGAGATTCGGAATTAAGTCTTTTTTTTCTCCAGACAGGGTGCCCCCCCCCCCTTTTTTTTAAGCAGTCGTCGTCTTTATCAACGCGAGGGTTAGATTTCCTCACCCTAGGTTAGTGGATCCTGGACTCCTTTCGACGTGTTTACTCAAAAAGGGGTTACTTTTTTTTATAGATTAGATTTAGATTTGGCAGAGGCTAGGAACAGGCCCCTGGCAATGAAGAGTCAGATACGATCTGGTCTCGTCGGGAGGATTCTAGAAAACAGGATTGTGGACGATGCAAGAGGACAAGGTGCGCAGCTCCCTTTCCTTTTCCCCATTAACCTGAGCTTCGCCGTCATTCATTCCTGAGCGTCCGACTTGGGTTTTTGGGCTCTGTCGTGTTCTCCTCCTTCGATCGACTGCCGTCATCGACCGCCGGGTGCGGAAGTCGCAGGATCGTCGGGACGCCGTTCCGTGCGGGGACGCACGGTTTGCCGGTTCGTTCAGTGCAGGTTTAGTAATAGCGTTACGGGATCCTTTTTTTTTTCTATCCTAGGCGGTTGTGGCCGCTCGGCTTCGCTTTCATTCCGATAGATACGGTACGACAAAGATTCGGGCGAGCCAAATACTGCGCAAGCCCGAGATTAGCCGAGCCGAATTTTTTTTTAAAGCGCAAGTCTGCTGTAGGCATCGAGAGGACGTAGACTAATGCTGCATTGCTAAATTCGATTCAAGCATGACCCCCCTCGTAAAATTGGCAATTTTTTCTCCGCATCTCTCGGGGGATCGTCTTATTACGATGAAATTGCATGGCAGAAAGAACCCCCAACCTCGATTCCTTCCCCGCATCTCGATGAGCCGCAGCCGTTGCAATGCTGCTATTGGCATTTCCATTCGGTGAGGCTGAAAGCCCCATACAATACGGAACCTTTATGTGGCTGTAGAGCACGAAGATGTGTTATCCTTTTTAAAGTGAAATATGTCATGAAATAAGCCTAGTTTCTACTCTCTTCTGCCTTTAACGGTAGAACCTGGAACTTAATATGTTAATCTTTTGATGTCTGCAAAAGGACTCCGCCCCTTTTTTTTCACATTTCGCGGTCTCCACGAGGAACAACTTCGAAGGCGATTCTAATAACGCCTCTCCGATCATCAAGTATAGTTGGAGTCGAGAAAAGATATATTTAAGATTGCGGATTTCAGTGTTTCGATTTTTTTACATCGACATTTCACTGGTCACAGAAAATGGATCGGTTCAAATTTAATTTTTTTTTTTTTTTACATCTGCAGCTCAACAGCGTCGGTGTCCATCTAATTTTTTTTTTAATGCTGCCCTCAGAAACCGATTCCGTTTGAAATGTGAAATCATGGCGATCCTTCGATTTCACTCTTTCACTTAACCCGAAGCCGCCCCGAAGGCGACTTCGCATCGCGAGGAATTCCGAATAAACCTTGCGCAAACCGGCAGACGTTATTTATTCGATATGTGTCCCGCCACCCCCGTATCTCTCCTCGACGGGGACATAAATTTGCCACGCTCATGTCGCATCCGCTTGTAGGTACTGCACAATGGACACCAGTAGAGCATCGATCAAGCTGAAGTGAGCCCATCCTGAATGATCGGGTGGATGGACTTGAAAACTTCTCCGTTTTCAAGCCACTGCTCTCTCCCTCTCTTGACGGTTAAAGTCTTTCGCCGCCTGATTTTTCTTTCCTTGCTTTTAAAGACAATTCCTCGCACGTTTCCTACTCTGCTATCTGTGTAACGATTTTGGCTCGCTAATTTATTTCTTGTTATTTTGAAACCATGACAGCTTGGCTGCCCATAATCCACGATCGTTATGGTATAAGAAAACATTCGCGAATAAGTTGAATGAGTTCATTATGTAACGCTCGCGGTCGTCTGGCGTGGCCGGTAGTATTACTCGTACGTCTCTGTACTTAAATAACTACCTGCAAACTACCTTGACCGTCGAAACAGGAAAGAATTTAAATAAAAAAAAGGATATTAGAAATTTGCCCCTTTTGGGATGGTTCGTATTGGTCGGACGGAATCAGTGGCCGTTAGACAATGATTCCAACAGGCTGGGTTTTCACAGGATTTTGTTTATTCTATTCTATTGACAAAGTACTAATAAAAAAAAAAGGATTTATACAAGATCTTCCTCAGCACAACTTCGCATTAGCTTTCGCTTTCAAAGGTGAATGAACAAAGTGAAAAACTTCTACGAACAAGAAAATGATTCAGCTCACCCCCTCGATGCAGCACTTTCGCAAGGACTCGTGATTTTTCAATCACGGCTAAACAACGAAACCGAAAGGGGTTGCTCGGGCTCCAACCCTCCGCACGCCCACAATCCGATTCCGGCCTTGCTATTTCTATACGTCCCTTCTGGCTCCAACCAGCAAGGAACAGAATCTGGCCCCAACCAGATCCACCCAAGCCCGGCTACAACCAGCGCTTAGGCACCTCGGCTCCAACCGAGTAGAAATAGCAAGGCTCTGATTTACCAACAGGGACCCTAACCTGATGATAGCAGCAGCCGCGAAGTCCGGAACCCTTCACCAACCTCTACCTCCTCTCCTCTTCACCCTCCAAGTCGGGTTTTTATACTCCTTTCCATGACTGTCCACGTCACGATAAACTCAGACGCTGAATGGTCGGAAGGCCGGAAGGATGTTACCGAAAATGGATTCAGGAGATTTGGGGAAAGTGGTCGACCTCTGATCCCTCTTGACAGCGGAATCGTGGCAAAGCCATAGATTTCACGAGGGCAGCCAGTCTGTCCTCATTTGTCGCTGTCCTAATTTTCTGTCATTCTCCTTTTTTCAGCGATGAAAAGACACGTGTAGAAGAGAAGTGGCAATTAATCCCAACCCCTTCGGGCCGTAGCCTGGCGCCTGACTAATGGGGAGGCGATAAGTCATGGCGGGCGCTACAATTACATCTCATTTGTTCAAATTGGTTCAGTACTCCATATGAAGTACTTTTTAAATTCCATTACTAGGAGCTGAGGACATAATACCCCCAGAAGTCATATCGTCGGAGCAAGATAAATGTATACCTGTTGAAATTGGCCAGTAGTTTTATGTCTGTCTGTGTGTTGTGGATATTAGGTTATTATTAGTACTTCCAGCGCTGGTGCAGTACTTGAGAACCCCAAAAAGCATACCATGGTGCCATGGCGAGTTCATGGGTTTGTTGTTTCTCGAAATAAGTTCAGTGCTACTAGTTCTGTTGGTCTGCGTGTAATGGATAATAAGTTCGTTTTAGTACTTTCAATAATAGAGCAGAACGTGGGAGAGGCACATCACGGCGTCGAAATAAAGTCCATCGGTACCTCAATTGTCGAAACTGGCCTCTCGGGTTTCGCTCTACCATGTGTGCGTTATGGATATTAAGTTTCGCCCGTTCTCTGTAGGACTTTCAGTACGAGATTAGTACTCGAGATCGACACAAGCACACCGTAGCACCGACACGAGACTATTGAAAAAATTTTGCCTAAATCTGTTCGGTTATTTTCGCTCTCTGTCGGTCTGAATGTTCAGTCGCCTGAACGAGATCTCCAAAGACGAACTTCCAGGTTTCCTCAAGCGGTAGACCACGAGGCCGGCTATGGAAGAAACTCGGACGAGACATCGTTCCCGTAGACGACCATTGTCCGTGAGAGTACTTCGAAGGAATGGAGATGATTCCTATTTCGTGGAAGCACACACAGGCAACGGTCATCTATGGGAACGATCTTCCATCGTGACTTCCATGGAGACATTTCGCTTGTGTAAATCCGACCTAACAGATTGGGTAGGAAACCTTAGCGAAAGGAGAAAGTTTCCCCCTTTTGAAGAGCGCTCATTCGTGCAAACATGTGCTATGAGGGTAGACATTTTTATCAGAATGGTTCATTCTGCTCCGAGTTTCCTATTATAAGCTGCGTTTGCAGCTTGCTAACGAGTTCTGACGCGAAAGGCACCGATTTCGTCCAGGAGTAGATCCGGTGCGTTTCATTTATGAACAAATGGATCTGCAGGAAGTTATTCTCTGCTCCAACATGGCTGACTAAACTTGTACTCTCGTTATCCCAACATTCGTTTCTACGAGTTCGCACCCCGAAGTTTGCTAATCGCTGATTTTCGCCTTCTCGTATTGTTCGCTTGATGCAAGCGCCTGTTTTTTTTAAGTAATTTTTTTCCATCCTTATCCACATCACCCATCCTCCTTCCTTCTACTATCGCGATGGACAGGCTTGAATCGGTGAGTTCCACGGCCGTCAGTTGAACCATTAGAAATGCCATTCGATATCAAATTCTGTGGAAGCTCGCTATGAATTCAAAGAATCTCCATAACCAGATCTAACCCCTGTGACGTCAGTGCTTCTCGATTCTAGGTAGACAAAGCGGCAGACAAGCGGCACGGGATTTGCGGTACAAGTTTTACATTGGAAACCCATAATGCACTTTTACGGAGAGCACTTCATTCTAACAGTAGTACGAGACCATTCCTCTTCCTTTAACCCCTTCGTGCATGTCCACTGAAGTAGACGGCTATGATTTTGGTTCTGATGTCGGATTTTCAGCCACGGTACACATGCCTCGAAACTTTTGGTGCATGCAGTCCACTCCAGGGCACATCATCTACTTAGTGTTGTCTCCTAACAGTGGAACATGCGATTACTATCGTAGAGTACCACCTTAAACATTAAATATACGTAAATAAAACATATTTGTATTGCTTTAAGAATTCATGCACGAAAGGGTAAAGAATAAAAGATCATTTGGACCCTTACTCTCTCTTTAGAGGACTGAAATCCAATCCCCAATTTTTGAAGCACAGATGTCCTGCAAGCTTTGTCGTGTGGATTTCGAGGTTCTTGAAAGTGTACCACGCGATGTCTCGACTGCATTTCTGGGAGGGAAAAATTGGGAGGAAAAATGTGTAAATTTCCCCCTCCTTTTTCCCCCCCTCTTCACGTCCTTGATAGAAACTTTCCGACTCATTCCAGTCGAACAAATGAAGAATCAGAGACGGCTGGAATTCCATCCTCTAGCTCCTGCGTTCACAATCACCGATACATTGGTTTTTCATTGAAACGCATCACATTTTAGACAAAGATGGACTTATTTCTTGTTTCGCGAAGCAGATCACGCTATGCGGATGCGCCTCGCCAGGCCTCCAAGTCTCGAATGATGACCGACCAGTCGGCTGGAAGGAGGAGGTTCATTTCCATCCCTGCTGCAGAGGTTTGACAGGCCGGGTTGTTTCTCTTTTCCCTCAAATACCAGCTTCTATGTAGGATCTACTTGCTCCCATATATGATTATCGGAGCCATCTCGATGAAATGCCGTGGAACCAGTTTCTCCCTCTACACAATTATAGGAGAGAGGGAGATGGAGCTCCGATAGATAAAGGGTTTGAAAACTCGAGAGATAAATTAAAGCGGCATCGGCGAGGACTCCTCTGTTCCTTCTTCAGGATCAGGAAATGCAAAGCAGACCCAGTGAGGAATGCTTGCCCTGCTATGCTTTCGAATGCAGGAATACACCATTAGGACCAAGGTTGGGCATGATTCTCCGAGGGTGGGGAGGTCGGCCTTGGAAGTGAATAGGACCTGTGAACTCCAGCTTTCCAGACAGGTGGCTGTCTATCAGTGGTCACGAGAGGAAAGTCGAGCCAGACTTTATTCCCCTGTAGGAGCAGAAAAAAAAAAGTTGTATTCCGGTAGAAGATTATTTTCCAGACTTGCGCGTACGTTCATCAGTCGACTTGGCACAGACGTCATTCGAGGGTTTTATTTGGATTCCCACTTTCTTGGCGGTGGAGGACGTAAATGGATACAGATGTACCCCTTAGTCTAGACTGTTTTGGTGTCGAGTCCATTTGAACTTCCCCACAACTCGAAAGAGAATCCCGGCCTGATGCGGCCGAGAAAAACACGTCAAGCCTTATTGGGAATTACGTGTTCGTCACGGAATTGATATTCAGGGAGGCGAGAAGGAAGGACGCTCGTAGATGATGCAGGGGAGGTCGCGGTTGCGCAGCAGACGACGATCCGCCTGTCATGTGCAGTGCCCGCATGGCCATGAGTCGAACGCCTTCGTCTTAGGCACAGCCAAGCCCCCCACTACTTCTCGAGCGCTTGTGTTTCTGTGAAAGAGTGCAAAACTTGGCTTCGGTGTCTCGGCAACGCGATCCTTCTTTCCTCACGATTCCTTATTTATCTCTTTTCACTTACTAGGCCTATACTGTTTTTAAGGATAGCGCGTTAGGGATCCGACACAGGCTCTCACTTCTCTAGTGCACCTAAAAGCGAGAAGTCACCGTATACCATTACGCAAGGTGGATCGGGAACATCTGGGCTGGAAAGACTCCTCTTTCGTCAATACAGGCCGTATTGGAAGTTTCCCCCCGACAACACGATCGTGCATTGCTCCTAACATACATGGCGAGCGTCGGTGGAAAAATAGAGGCGTTAAATTGAGTGCGACGCACTTGATAAGTGTGCCAATTCTGCGTCTGGTGTTAATCACTTCAGTTCGAGACTTCAGTCATGAGTCGGGGAGGTTTTCGTTCGACAACGAAACCTGTATGAAGACGGCAAATGGGGGCAGCTCAGCCCACCTGTAGCCCATCGGAGTTTCGAAGAACGAATCAAAATCGATCTCTGTGGAATCGATAGATGGGACGTAGGACGGGCTGACGAAAGCCTCCGTCCGTAGTCAGTGAACACAGGTCGCCGAGACATGATCGAAGGGTGTCATGGATGAGACGAAAACTGGTCTTCGACTCCAGTTCCACGAATTCTTCGGTCCAGAGCGTGATGGCTTCGTGCTTAGAGCGTGAGGCCCGACACGTCTCATCGACATGGCTCCTACGTCTCACACCGAGGGCTCATCGAAGGCTTGTCTAGATCTTAGAAACGAGGTGGGCCTGGTGAATTTCCACATCCTGTTTCCAAGGGAGAGAACGGGGTTTGGCAGGGGCCTTTCCTCTACGTCTCTTGCGTGACTCAGACCCAATTCCCAGTTCCCACATCGCCCACTACCATCACCCGCCAACCTGTTGACCCCACTTCTCCCTGACCTTCCTTGGATTCTTAGTCATAGAAGTCGAACCGGACTTGTTTATTTCCTGCGCACATTCTCGCACGCCTTCATCGATCCCTAGTGTCGGCTTTCATGTAGCTATAAGAGCTCGTATATCGCTTTACCAAATGTTTTGCGTTGTGTGCCATATTGACAGGTTGTGATCGTGGCAGGAGGGCGCGCTTGCGCGGAATCTCAACCCTCCTGAAAGACAACGGCATGGTGGTGGTGGTGGAAGTGACAAACTTGTATCGTATTCGTTCTCAAGTATTGAGGAAATGGATATTGATGCGATTATCATCGTCGACGTGACTTGATGGGAGAACTTTACCCTTTGATCTCACAACTCAACCCTGATCGTCGTCGGCGCAAGTTCACGAGCCAAATGAAAAAATGGCTTTGGACTTCTTCGCCGGGTTTCTCGGAGGTAACGGCAAGACCGGTGCATTTCTTCATTGAGTCGAAAAGTAACCCGATCGAGCTGAGACGAGTGCTGTGGGTTTCTCGTTTTCTTCCATGACAGGAACTGCAGGGGTCGTGGTGGGACATCCACTGGATACCATCAAGGTACGTTCTGCTTTCTCGAGTAATTGCCAGCTGCAGTGGGGAGGGGAATTTGCCAGACTTCAATAATGTTAGTCTTCGCGTTTGGATACCTTCCAAAATGAGATGTCACCGTATCGATTGACCCTAATCTTAACACACGTGGAGCAGAAACACGTGCATGATGAAGCATTCCTCGAAGTGGCACAACATTTTGGATAGTAAAAGACAATCGTATGGGATTTTGTTGCAGGTGAGGCTGCAAACTGACGACCCGAAAAAGCCTCGGTATCGGGGCACCACTCATTGTTTCGTCACCATCTTGGAAAAGGAATCCGTGAGTCCTTCCTCCTTCCTTTGGACGACTCTCATGGGCAGGCGATGCGAGGGGAAGGGATGAACATTATTCACTATATTCCTTCTGTTTTCCTTTTCTAGGCTCATGGCCTTTATAAAGGAATGTCTTCTCCACTTGCTGGCGTGTCAGTGGTTAACGCAGTGGCATTCGGCACATACGGAGCCGTTATTCGGAACCTGGAAACTGACAACAGCATGTCCTCTATCCTATTTAATCATGGTGTTGCTGGAGCTGCCGGGGGACTCGTCCAGACTCCTCTTGCTTCCACACTAGAACTGGCCAAGACTCGCATGCAGCTTCAAGTAAGTTCGATAGCAAAATGTATGCTTCCCGATTTTTTCACGGCTTGGACACCATCTTATGACGGTCTCGTACTTGCGCACAGAGTCAGGGTCAAGGTTGGAGCCATTTCCTGGGTCCTGGTGCCTACTTAGGAGGTCGATGGCACCGTTCCAAAATCCCTCTTCCCTACAGTGGGCCCATTGACTGCATGAGGAGGATTTGGAGGAAAGAGGGAACTCGTGGAATTTTCAGAGGACTTGGTATTACCATCGTCAGAGATGTTCCCGGTTTCGCTTACTACTTCGCCTCCTATGAAATGTTTTGCAAACTTCTATCTTCCACGCCTGGAGAGATGGTAAGCATAACGTGATACCTCAAACAAAGGCTTTTATTATTAACGTGACCGGAAAGTCATCTTAACAAACCCCCTTTTTTCGAAAAGGAATTGAAGCTCCTTGTGCCATTGCTTAGATGTTTGTGTGTCAGCGCGAAGTACAGGCCAAAGTTTGCTGGATTAACAGGTACTTCTTAGTTTTTGCCAAAACTACTTAATTTGTTTTGATTAAATTTTCATAAACTAAGTCATTTTAGATTGTAAGAGAATATAGTAGTAGTAATTTGAGATTCGGGAATTCTCATAGTGCAACATGATTTCTCCTTATCCCCAACCATCAATCATCTCGATGCACAGTCTCCCGGCGCCCTCCTGAATCCTCCCACCATTCTTTCTTCATAACCTACATACATTTCTCTTGTATTATCTACAGAGTGGTCAAAAAGTAACTTGAGACTTGTTGAGTGTTAGGTTAAACACTTTAATGTGTCGCAGTTTATTGACTGGCTAGTTAGGTATTCTGAATTAGCACTCGGATTTCTTCTGTGGTTTTAACATCTTATCCTTCTGGGGTTTTGTGAAAGCCAATGTTCATGCGTGTATCTCAACGGCGATCGATGCTTGACGTACATTGCTTGCTGATGAAAAGCGATTTGAACGTTTTCGTTGTGTTGAAGCTGCTGAAGTCTAAATGAAAATATACCTCAACTGTCATTAAAGTGTCAAATGTTATGGATGCTCTTGTGAATTATTTGACTCTTGATAATCTTAAGTTTCAATGTCGAATTGCAGAAAAGATCTTTCAAGTTACAGGTTCCTTTTCGTTACCTTTTGTCATTGTAATTAAAAAAAGGTTCGCTACTAGACTGGGCCGCGTTCAGCTTGTCATGATGTTTAATATTTTTCTCAGTTGCCCCACTGGAAGCTCCTGGTGGCTGGTGGCCTCAGCGGCATGGTCTCTTGGATTGGGACTTATCCCTTGGATGTAGTCAAGTCCCGAATCCAGGCTGATGGAGCAACCGGTCCTAGGAAGTACAGTGGCTATGTGGACTGCGTCCGCCAGTCTTTGAGAGAGGAAGGGCTGAGAGTCTTTGGTCGAGGACTCACGTCCACTCTCATCCGTGCCTTCATCGTGAATGCAGCCACTTTTGCAGTGGTCACATGGGTCTTGCGCTTCGTGGGTAACATGGCCGACAACTGGGAATTCCCTCTGCCCTATAACCAACTTCCCGATCAGCACCATCCGTTCATCCCGCTCACTCGGAACCAATTTCCCAGTCCTTCGAGCGTCATTCTGGAGTTTGATTCCAATTTCCACAGCACCCTGGTGCATCTGATAAGATCTGACCATGGAACGATCTCATCGCCCGACTCCCAACCTTCCTCTTCTACCATGGAAGAATCGTCAGAAGCTGTGAAAAGGAATGACACGACCTCCATAAGCAGCAGCAGCAGCAGTAACAGTAACAGCAGCAGTAACAACAGCAGTAACAACAGCAGCAGTAGTTCTAGTACTTCTGGCTTTCAGCCTCAATCCACTTCAAGCACTTCATCTTCCACAAGTCTTGAGCAGCCTTCTCGGGCGACTGCTTCTGCTGGTTTGGTGGATCCCTTCCTCCTCAGTAATCCTGAGGTTGTCCTAATGTTTGTGTGATGTTTCTTGTGACACGAATGGTGCTACTGAACCTCTTCATCTGTCTTTCCTATACTCTTGCTCCCAGAGCTCATTTGGTTGATGGGAGGGTAGTGGTCTGTTTTTTTTTTTTCTTTCATCAACCACCAGACTTGATTTATGAAGGGAGCACAGGCAAATGTCATTCAGGTGATTTTTTTTGGATTCTTCAATGTGGATGCAGTGCCAGCTGCAGAGAACAATATCATTTAATTCCAAATTGGCCTTATCTGAACTCATTGCTGTTTGCCTTTTTTTTTTCCTTGACTTTTATTCAATGGGAAGTTGAAGAGGCTAGATCAGATCTACCTCATCTTGTGCAAAGTGAAAGTGTCATGAAGGGAAAAGGATTCTCCTGCTCCTGAACCTCTCTTCCTTTCTTTTTGACAATTTGAGTTGGACAGACAGTAATACTTTTTTTTTTTTTACTCCTATTGCCATCTTCATCCTTCATATAAGGCTCATCCTCTTGGTCCTTGTGTATTATGGGCTTTCATATCTGGTGAATGAATGGCATTGCATGACAAAATGTCCAGTTTGATGATTCAGTAAATTTTTAAAAGCCTGAAGCAATTTTAACCCATAATTCAACTTTTTCCCACCAAAGTGGCTGATGTCTTTTTTTCCCTCCCTGACCTAGCTCTAGATCCATCCCCACCAATCGGGTCATTGTGATCATTGGTATTGCACTGTTTAATGTCTCTTTGACAACCTGAGAATCTATGGAATGGAGCAAAAATTCACAATGTGATAACTTGGCACACAGTGTTCACTTTGAGTGCAATATATGAATGACTCCCTTCTCTAAGATGACTTTTTTTCTACCCTCTATGGTGTTGTCATTCAAAAGTAACTTGTTGCTTCCAAAATTTTTTTTATAAATACTTGAGCAATCATAGGAAATTCACACACCTGCAGAAAACGAAGCATAAAAATATGAAGCAATAAAATTCAAAGTCACCAGGCAGGGAAAGCAACAAAAGCAAGCACTCTGTTCAACTGATTTCTGTATCTGAACTCCTGGAGATAAGAGGACATGAGTCAAGACTGCAGCACAGATTAAGAAAGAAGGCTGAAGATACAAGAACAAAATACAGGAGTTTTGTACCTTCGTCATGGAGGGGAAACCATGGAAAGTAAATGCACTAAAGCATCTCACTTTATGACACAATGCAACCCTGATACAAAGAAACCACAACCTCATCCCTGCTAGATCCCCTTGGCACTGAAGAGAGAAAGCCATGATCACAGAATGGGGGTTTAGGCTTCAGATGGGTGTGTGTGTGTGTCATCAGATGGCACTATGCATGGAGACAGAACCATTTCCTTGAGGTAGGATATCACAATGAGCAGTGGAATGGGAGACACTCAGTCTCTGTAAGTGCAAAACTCCTCAGGAGGATAAAAGAGACTGATTGCGGGGTGGGAAATGTCCATGAATGTGGGGTGGTGACAGCATGTTCACAGTTAACTTCTTTGACTTTACATTGTTGCCTCTTGTTGTGCCTGGTTTCCGATTCGGACTGATGGGATATGAGTTCTTCCCATATTTTGGGAATGGCAGATTGAGGCTCTGCTTGCGACTGGAACTGCTTGTGTTGGTGTTGGTAGTTGAATTTGAAGGGCTTTGTATGTGATGAGGGTGCGAGGACCTTGCAGGCACTGGGGGGGCAGGAAGAGGACGGTTTGAGAGTGATGCATGCCATGACACTGGTCGAGATCCTGGAGGGGATGGTGTCATTGTTGGCTCTTCTTTCGGCACCTGAGTCCTATGGAAAGCTGACAACAGGGCTGAAATCATTGGAAGATCTCCTGTCTTGCTATGTCGTTCCAAGCGACTAAGATCATTGGCACTCAGTCCCACATTTGTATTCTGAAATAAGATAAATTCATGATTTAGCAAAACTTTTCTAGGAAATGATGGAAAGGTAGGAGAAAATGTAGCATACCTTCTTGGGTCGTGGTGGAAGAGATGGAGGTACAGCATTGAGACTATCAGTGGACTGGGCTCTAATTCTTGTAACTGCAATGGGTTCATACAATTCAGAGGAAGGGGCAGATGGAGCAGAAGATGATGGCCCATATCCACTATCACTACAAGCCACAGGACAATAGCTAGCCCTGGAAGGGGTATTACAACTGCTGAGGCTTCCAAGACTCCCAAAGCTTCCCAGGCTACCATAGCTGCTTGTGGTCATTGTTGCAGTTGGGCAATTGCCCCAGGACAATCGCCCAGAGGAAGATGACTGAACACTGAGGGCGATGAGGCTAGCACGTTTGGCATCCATGTACTCCTGTCGACTCAGCTCAGGGTCTTTTTGTGGATAGATCACATAGTCCACATCAGAATACAGCTGAGCATGGAACTGCTCCATCTGTCTGGAGTAGACAGTGGATGCTTCAGAGACCTCCACTTTTGATGACCACCTGTGCAGAGGTAGGTTCAGGTAGTTGTTTGAACCAATTGGAGGTTGAATGTTAGAGTTCATCATTTGTGGTGGAGGGGGTGGTGGGGGGGGTTGCTGCTGTGGAGTTGTGGATCCACTGCAAAGCATTGCAAACCGAGGACCAGAGCTGGAAATTGTGATGGATTGAGCTGTCTGTACATTGATTGGAGGCCTAGCACTGATGAACACTGCACTAGCTTCTTCAGTCTCAACATGAATTTCTGAAGTCCTGTCTGTACGTTTTGAAGACACCTTCCTCAGGGAACGCAACAGGGACCAGCTGCTGCCAGACTTGTTCCCTGATGGCACTTTGGGTGACTCCAACATCGAGTCCAATAGATTATCCTTGGACTCTCCCTGAGGTTGTGGATTTGAAGATGTGGATACCGGGATGGGAAGGGAGGCTTCGTTGATCCCAATTCCCCCTTGTGATTGCTGACTTCTGTTCAAGAAGTCCACATATGCTCCTTCTCCTCCATTCAAGTCTTTAGCACCATCTTTACTCACTTTTTGTTCTATGGAACCAGAAGTTTTGAGTACAGGGTCCTCCTGTCCAGTCACTTCTCCCACTTCTTCTTCATCATCCTGCTCTGAGCAGCAGTGGCAGTTGACCACACACTGAATGCGATTGCTGACTGTTGCAAGGTCATCAGGGTCTTCTCTCTCAAGCATACTGTCGATGACACAGCCAAGCGAATCACAAGGAGTTTTCATACACATGTTTTCACACTGATAGGTGCCATTGAGATCGCAGTCACAGATGTGATCAGCAGCGGCACACTGAACGCACACCTCTCTGTCAATCCAGCCACCATTGCAAGCGTCCTCATCGCAAACATCCAAGAGTGTGCCACAGTGACTACAAACATTCCCCTTTGTCTCTTCACCTCCTCCCTCTCCATTTGTATTTCCTTCACTTGTTGAAGGATTCTTCTGAACGTCACCAGCATTTTCAGTCTCTCCTGTGCTCTTAGTCCTTGATCGATTTGCACCAGCATCTGCAACACTTGCTGGGATGCACATTTGGCTGCTGCTTCGACTGCTCCATTCTGATCCCTTTCCATCTAGCAGAACAGAGAGGCAATACAAACATGTAATGGAAACTTTTAATATGTAAAAATACATATCAATTTCATGCATCATCTGAATTTCAATTGTAAATAATGGGAAGATTAGACAGTTTACCTAAAGCCCTTGACTTGATGTTTTTCCCAAAACTTTTTTTTCACCTTCACAACCAGCAAGTGCTACATTCCAATGTGTATGTAGCAGATTTTCTTCAAATGAAATATAGAGTTTTCCCCCTCAAAGTTGAATCAAAATATCCTTGTTAAGAGAATTAAATACAGAGTAACAGCTCCTAAGACTTTTTTCCTCCATCTGACCAGACTTGGAATATAAATTAGATCATCTTTCCCCATGTAGGGGAAAGCCTATTCCCGTAGAGAACAAGTCACTCAGGTCAGGTTCACTTTCACAAAAAGGGTGCTACAAATTATTTTCAAGTGGCATACTTCACAGGGGAACAACTGCCACTCTTGGCAGCCCTTAGGTAAGAGCCTGCATATAAAATTTTTTTTCCATCATGAATGCCTTCAGATGGAAGTTCATATCCCTCCCTGTAATTTTTTCAGGCATATGATAAGTGATGCCTAAGTATAAATGATATTTAAAAAAAAAAGAATTATTTGCAAAAATGTTGTTTCTTGTCACTACCTCACATAAACCAGAGTATGATACTTTAAAAAGAAGAACTAAGTCTCAGGAACAAAAATAAACAAATGGTGCCCTTTTTCACCATGAATATTATGTGAACCTGCAGTAGCTCAAGCTCAGAATTCAAAATGCATTAGTTGTTATTCCCTCAAGAATTGCATCTCTGAAGATGCAATGGATTAGTTTGAAATTGGGATGCCAGAGCAGAATGAGAAAAAAAACTAACCTCACAAGAAATTTATATAAGAGGCAAAACCATTGTAAATTAATGCATGCAGCTTAATTTTAAATTTTAAAATACAATGGTGAATGAATTGTACATCAGGCTGCCAATTTTTTTCCATATGGGATGAGTAATAAGCTTGGCAACATGGTAATGAGTACATAAATCAGCAGTCAACCATGACCCTGGAGCAGAAGCTCATGGAGTTACTAAGCTGCAATAGCCATTCCACTTTCTTTTCCCATCTCAACTGTATAAAAAATATTTAAAAAACTGGTACACAGACAAGCACTAATTTTTGCACTCATCATTATGATGTTTCCAAAGTTACTATCATTCCATATAAACAAAAATTGGCAACTTGAAACAAAGTTGATTTATCTTTTTACATTAAAAACAGCTTTCTCTTACTTCCAGTCATTTGTCTGAAATATAAATTACTTAATGGCTTGGCTTTTTATGCCAGTGTATTTCTAAAGGCACCTTGCATAAAATAAAAATAATTTCATTTCTCCTTGGTGCACCCTTTTCTTAAACCTGCCCCTCTTGGCTCATGAGCCACGATATGCCCATAAAAGGCAAAAGTATGCGCAGGTCATGGTAGAAGCTTCCACTCAAAAAAAAATAAAGGCATGAAAAACATATTGTATCTAGGGCTTTTGCAGATCACACAAAATGCAGATAAGTAGAGAATTTTTTCAGTATCAAGCCTCTCCTTACATGCTTCACTTGAATTTCTGCACAATGAATGAAAATCGAAAAGAGACTCACTATTTCCAGTTTTGGATTTGTGTGCACATGAGTTGTCATCTTTTAATGGGCTGGGTAGGGGCAATTTGTCTCCAGAACTGACATCTGTAATAAATTGGAAATGAAATGCATGAGACCAATGATTCCCTCACAAATCCCATTCCCTCTAAATTAGGTAAATGGTAAGTCAATTGACTCAGGTACCTTTCCCTTTGGCCAACCACCTGCTCATCATCAATCTCCTCTGAAGCACCCAAGGTCATTGGAAGATCCAATTCATGGGTCTTCACTCAAACTAAGTGGCTAAGACCTCTACCATTTTCGTTCTCCTTCCCTTACAGTCTAAACCAAGGGTGCACAACTTACAACGCGGGCAAGGGCAAGGGCAAGGGCCTTACCCGCGGCCCGCCATGCTTAGTTGCGTTATAAGTGCTACTATGGCTCCTACCTTGTTGGCCATACCTATGGTCAGCAGACTGCGGCCCGCGGTTGGTGAGTAAATATCGCAAAAAAGGCCCTCACAGCCGTTTGAGTTGTGCACCCTGGTCTAGACTTTTATTTTTCAAGTCCTCGTTGGGAAAAATAAATCAATGTTGTTTTGCAATTATCAAATAAACAAGACACTCACTTTTCTCAGGAGGTGGCTCTGACTTAGAGGGAGTTGAAGAGCATTTAGTCTTGGTTGAATTACAGTCTCCGACGATGGATTTTTTCCGCTTTTCTCCCTGTTGTTCATTGGATGAGCTGCTTGTTGAGTCTCCTGCAATGCGACCAAGATTGGTATTTAAAATACACTATAATGATTCTGCAAACAGAATCCTAGGACAAAACCATGAAGTGCAAAAGTCATGGTGAGCATCTGTACCTGAAGAATGTGAGGGGCTTTTGCACTGCAGTCCCATGCTGAACTGATGAGTTCGACGACAATGGGAAAGCAAGAGGCGAGCCTTCATTTCATTGCTGGCCCAGAAAGTATACTTCTCACTGCCGGTTCGAACTTCAAATTTCTTTTTCTCGAACGAAAGCTTCATGATGCTGGGCCAGCTCAGCTCTGCAGTTACTTCATACTTATCTTCCCCAGCTGCTTTTTCCTGTGCAAAAAAAAAAATTGAAAATAAACTGAGTGCAGTTCACCATGCATCACAGTGATGCGGAAGGTTTTGCCGCGAGGATGAAGACAAACCTGGAAAATTGTAAGCCCGTTGGCAGAGAGGCCCAGAAGAGCCGAATGAGAATGAACCGATCGTCCAGTTCGAAGGGAGAATAGGCACATGTTGTAGGGACTCGGAGGTCTGGAAGCTTCCCTCAGGTATGCCAGCTGAGCCTCCAATCGAGTCAACTGACTCACTGCTGGATTCTTATGCACCCGGGTGCTCTGCTCAAGCACGTGCAATGTCCCCAGACTTGACAATATCTACGGGTGGGAATGAGAGTTGGGATTTGAGCAAGGACGTTTGGTTTGAGATGGTCCGTTTAATGCATTTTTATTTCTCACGTGTGGTGGGAAGTAGAGCTGGGGGTCGAAGTAGGCACCTCGATGGACCCTGGAGCAATAGGGTCCTAAGTCAGCCTGAAGGGCATAGCCTGCAAGGAGGAAAGGTTGAGCCGCGTTCTCTCCCATCCCATCCCCTGACAGGCATCCACTCAACCGGCCTTGCATGACATTCAAGCGCAGCTGATGGTAATAATGTTCCCGAACCAACCGATCCCTGTATATGATCAATGAGATATTAATAGCATGTCACACGATCGCTTGATTGACTTGAGTAACGAGTCGCTCACCATCGAAGGAAATGCCAGTCCATATAATACTGAATTCGGAGATGGAGAGTGAGCAAAGGCTGGTTGTCTGTATCCAACCCCTACAAAATGAAAATGTCCAGAATTATGGTACTCGATTCTGCACTTAACATTCGCAAGTGGACAAGGGAACAACAGCACTCACATTACGACTAGAATTCCTCCACGCCTTCGAAGCGTACTTGAGGAGCTTAGAATCCAACTCCAGAAAAAGGAATTCGTTATCTGAAAATGAGATCGTTTCTCATTAACAACCTCGACGCTCATTCTCACAGTAGAACAAAAACACAAAAGAACGCAGTCAAGGTTGTTCACCTATTTCGATCCCCAGGCCGAAGGGATTGGGATCTGGATTCCCAAGAAACCGGCACATCTGCTCCCATACATCCCCAACTGGACTCTTGCTCTGAGATAATTCCATGGTCATGAAATATGAGCTTGACAATGAAATAGCTTAATGCATTGCATGATTCACTACCATACCTGTACTACGCAATAGACGGTATGATGAAGGCCGGCAGGCAGAAGGCTGACGGCCACATATCGATTGTGTGAGGGCAAAGGGGCCGGGGAAGGGCATCGCAAAGGCCCATACGATGAGCCCGAACTCAGGGAATTTGTCCCTCCTGGGCCCATCCCATCAACTCGTCCTCCACATCTAAATGAAAAAAAAAAAAATCAGTGATGACTTCAGTGGGAAACGCGACCATCCAGGAGTTCAATAGAAAGCCAGGTCCAGTCGTGGACCGAAGGGCGTATACCGGGTAGCATAGGATCAACTGGGTCTTTTGTCCTATTATGTGGGCATATCAGCCAATATTAGACACTGAACTTTTTTTTTTTAATTGGTAGCGACTGTGAGTAACCAGCATCCCCATCCAGCTGCTCTCGGGGTGGAAATGTGGAAGAAAGGAAGGAAAGAAGAAAGGAAGAAAAGAGAGGTGAAAGGAATGTGGTTCGTGTGAGATAGATTGCACGCTCCATGTGATCGACTGACCTCAAGTGGGTCGAGAAAGGAATGCCACGCGTCCCCAAAGCATTTCTCCCTTATCTCTTTCTCTCTCTATCTATCCCTCACCTCTCGATGCAATGATTGGATCTATAGGCACGTATGAGTCACACCCATCAGCCAACATCATGTCTACTGACTCAGAAACAGCAGGGCCTCGAAGTTCAGAGGATTATATGTAGAGAGACCGGGGGGGGGATGCGCATAGCCCGAAACCAAGGGAAAAGCGATCCACATGCCTTCATAGCTTCTGTTCTTCCCTCCCCTCTTCTTGAAGAGAAAGAAAAAAAAAAACAGGACCTGAGGATAAGAAGGGGGGGGGGGGGGGGGGGGGGGGGGGGGGA